GCTACCCATGAACACTGTGACTAGAGATGGGAAATGTTTATTTCTAAGTTTCTCCCCCCCCCCATTTCATATCGTTCACAGTAGCAGAAGGGAAGACAGTAAAATATACGTACATTCATAGAAAGACAAGTGTATATTGGTAATTTTCAGATAATAGCTATTAGTGGAAGTTACTCTTATAAAATATCTGTCGGTGATGAGCATGATATTCCTTTTTGGAACACCATTTAGTTCTGTAGATGTCCACCGACGCTTCAGAGCAACGTATTGCTTCCATCTTCAGCCACGAAGAAATAAGAACAACAGTGTTTATTCTGTAGCAGAAGGCCAAGTCCCTCAACGACCTACTTTTATGTTTGGTCACATGGTGACTGTAACAAACCAACAAATCATACTCCCAACACAAACTACTATAAACTTAGTTGAGTAACTACAGAAACTACCACCAGAACAAGGTGAACAGTTTACCCACCCTTCGCAAGGGGATCTCCCGCACGGGAGCATAAATTAATGCCCATTGTGATGTCTCTTGCCAGTTAAGCAAAATTAAGAAGAGAGCTTTCTGACGAAGTTTTTTCGGCCTTTGCAGAAAACATCTCCTCTTGACATCATCACCGCATAGTTCAATTTGTTATTTAATCTTAGTGTAGATATGGCAGCATTTCCAACCCTGTTGATTTTGTTGAAGTTACTTTAATTTTAGTAAAAATATTATGTTTCTGGGCATTATAGATCTCGTTTTTTTATCTGAAACATCGTCCTGTTTATTTTTTAGAACACAACGTTTCGGAGACTGGATTCCGTCTCCACCTTCAGGTAAAACCTACTCAGACCCAACAGATAGAGCTAGTCCCTATCTCCGGACACCTGTGCCAGTTTCAAGAAGGGTTACATAAATCAAACACAGCACAAACCGCCTGCCAGAGCTAAGCAGGACGGTTTTTTTTAATTAGATATAGCAGCATAAGGAAGATGGATAATGTCCAGAAACATAATATTTGTACTAATGTACCATCGTTACAAACTTCTAGTGCTTAAGTAAAGTAAAAAGAATAAAGGTATCCCCGTAACAGGCCGTGGAGGCCCATAGGGTTGTAAGACGTCGAGGCTCCCAAATTTTCTATAGACAGTCGGCTCATAGATGGCGGCAAGGTTGTCAGCCCTACGTGCCGGCCTCCCCTTACCCCCAAGAATATTCCTGGTACTCATTTCTGTTAGAGGTTGATTCTACCCCAGAGCCATAGTGCGGCTGGAAGGATTAGGTCAATTGAAAAATATTCCAATGACCACATCGGGACTTGAACCCGCGACCTTTCGGCTTGTTGCATAGTGCGTCAACCAACTACGCTACCGCGTGCCCCAATCTTTTAGTGTTTATTTATTTTAATTTTGTTTTATTAATTTCCCACTGAAACTACATCGATCTTAACGCTAGTGTATAAGCAAGCACATGCGTACATTAATAAACAAATACAGGTAATAGTTACATAAGAGCCATAGTTTGAGCGACTTACCGTTCTTATACCCCCGACATTTTTCCTGAACACGACGCCTTCTGCTCGTTTGGTCTCATTGTTGATTATTATTTTCTCCACGTGAGAATGCATGCTGATATGAAGATTCTTCCTCCTGGCTGCGGGCCTTAGAAACGCTTTGGCAGTGCTGCATCGCAGGCCCTGCCTCAGTGTACCATGTGTCATCATGAATCCTGCCTGCATCGCCCCGTTCAAATCTTGGGCCTCGTAACCCATCTCTCTTCCAGCTGCAAGGAATGCCTTTGAAATAGGAGAGGTGTACGCAAACTCCTCTATAGTGAGAGGCCCTCCTGTACCGTGGTAAGGGGAGTCAATATATTCATCTACCCTCATGTCCTCAGATTTCTTGAAATAAGGAAGCACTTCTCTGTAGCTCCATCCTTCATTCCCAAGAGCTGCCCAGCGGTCATAGTCCTTAGCGTTTCCGCGGATGTAGATCATAGCGTTCAGGACACTCGAGCCCCCCAGAACTTTTCCACGCGGCCAGTTGCATCGGCCTTCATTCATACCGAGACACGAAGTATTAGATGGTTCTGTTTTAAATTTCCAATCTAACGGGGACAACTGAAGTGCTGGCATATATAGAGGGACGTCGGATAGTAAAGTTTCATCGCCGCCAGCTTCCAGAAGTAAAACCGTCCAGTTGGATATTTCAGATAGACGATTGGCAACCACAGCTCCTGCACTTCCCCCTCCTATGATGATGAAGTCGTAATGTTTGTGCATTTTAATGATGCTGCAGTCTTTTGGCCTCATGTTCTTATCCACGATGTCTGGACGTAGCAGTTGGATAAGTACTTGCGTGAGGATGATAAAGGAGAACCCGGTACCATAAGCCGCGGCGATACGTGCCGCTGAAGCCAATCCCTTTACAGACATGATGGCTTTCAGATACTGGCGCGTTCCTCCAGCCGAAGAGTGTGTCTAGTGACAGCCAATTGGTATCGATCATGAATGGCAGGGGAAACCGAAGTACTCGGAGGAAACCTGCCCCAGCGCCACTTTGTCCACCACAAATCCCACTTGACCAGACCCGGGATCGAACCCGGGCCGCCGCGGTGGGAAGCCAGCGACTAACCTCTTGAGTTATGACGCGGCCCTGGGATAAAGATGTAACTTAAGTTACTGTTTCAATAAAACAAGGATGCTACGATATTAAAGGAGTAAGTGTGAATAAAAGAGAAGAACGTAAATGAAAGATGAAAACAAGAATTAAATTCCCCATTGAATTTCCTTCATGTTTGTTTTTTTTTTCACGATTGAAGTATCTTTGCCCTATACGTTACTAAATTTTTCAGTTTTGTGTACAGTATATATAGTATATATACCTGAATGATCCACTACATATATCCGAATTGTTATGGGTATTAATATTTATGAAATTTATCATATTCCGACACAAAATCCAGAGATTATGATCGTACTTCTTACTGACAATACAGTATGCTAAAATACCAATAGAAAAATCTGTTCATCAAACATGTCAGTAGCCCTACATAAGTTTAGAAAGAATTTTTAATTGCATTGCACAATATTTTGATTCCAATCTTAAGTGAGAATTGACTTAATAAACATCTTGCAACCGAAACACAGTCCCGAAAATGAACACCACATCGCACTTGCACGTTTATGTTAAAATTATAATTGACCAGCAGGAAAAAGTCCAGTAACTTCTCAGCACAAATTAGCACTTGAGGCCAGCACTGCTGTCACATCACGACACTTATTTTATTTCTGAATTAATACACACGAGACTATAACAAATTCGCTTCTTTTCCCGTCACTCATTCTGCAATAGCGAGATATAGCAGACTGGTTGCAATATATTGCCGACGTCAGGTTTAAAATACTTTGCTAGCTTGCAAAATCGCCTTAGAGCGATGTACACACGTAAAACATCCGCAACAACGCAGTGTATAGAATTCTCACCACGTAAATTTTCGTTATTTATCTGCGTATTCTGACTCCAAGGAGCATAGGCCTCCTCGAGAAGCTGACTGTGACTCAGCTCGGCAATAAATTAGCAGAATTTTATTGAACTTCGAAGTTCTCTATCACACTTCCGCCATGTGGCCATATCCGGTGCCTGAGACATTCAGTGCCCGGCCCCTAATACCAAAACTCGTCTAAATCCTTTTGATTAATTTCAGAGATGCAAGGTGTGGAATGACGAGTGACAGACAGACATGTCCGTTGTTCATACAATACACTGTGTGCAATGCTCGAATAGAAATGGCGTTTTGTATTAATTTAAACCGAAGAATTTACCTGTGGATTAGAGAATTAATTATTGGAATCAATCTTAAAGGAGTGAGTAGTAAGGCTGTGAACTGGATTCTATTCCAGGATGGAGATTTCTTCGCTGGCTGAGCGATTAACAGCTTTTCAAGTTGTGCGAATGGTAGGAGTAAGAAATGCGTACAGAATTTTAGCTGGAGAACCTGAAAGAAGACCAATATTTCGTTGCATTCTGTTGCGTAAATCACAGTAGATAATATTTATTTTAGCCCTATCAACACAACATTGTTTCCAGAAGGTAGACTTTGCGGTCTGACGATCGCAGTGGTCGCGCGGTCTAAGGCATGAACTGTCTTCGCCCGCTCGAACACTGGGATCGTGGATTCGGATCCCACTCGAGGTATGGATGTCTGTGTGCGTTTATTCTGTGGTTGTATTCTTCTGTGTTTAGGTAGCGGCCTTGTGACGGGCTGATCTCCCGTGTGAGGAGCCCTACCGACTGCGTATAGGACTGAGAAGCTGAAAAAGCGGCCAAAGTCCAACAAAGGACTGTACAGCCATAGATATGTAGAGTTTGCGGTATAGAAACGAGACAGGAGATAGTGCTGTGTTGACAGGAATAAAGCAAATATTATTATCTCTACAGAAGGGAAGAAGTCACTAAGACCTGAATGGGAGGAATAACTGATATTGAACAAGGTTATGGGGCTGCTGATTAGATTCGACTAAGTATGGCGTAGTCTGGTGAGGGGGGTTATTTGAACTCTATAAAGGATCTTAGGGGAGATAGGGGGCGAATAGCTTCGTCAGTTGAGCGACAAACTTCAAGTCTCTGCTTGATTGAATTTGTTGTTATTAAGAAAACGCTTCGTGGCTTGAGTCCGCACGCGAACTATACCGACCGAGCGACCGCCGCTTGTCGGCGAAGTTGGTGCAAATTTATTACTTTTTTCCTCCCAGATTGCTCTCTGGTTCCCGCTCGTAGGTTACGCAGCTACTTGTTCACTGTTTCGTAATGAATCAGAAATATGCAAAAGACGCAGTTTGTTTTTGTAAGAATGTTACGAGATAAAGTGTTACGTTACACATGATTAAACGTTTCTTTTTGTAATCGAGTGTATATTGATGGGGTTACCTTATGTCAGAATACAAAATTTTTATTTCTTATGGATAAGTTCTTACGGATTTCCATTCTGTGCACCATTAGGAGTGTAAATATTAATTACATTCTTTTCGGTGAACAATGTACTAAAAGTGTCCATTGATAATGGATTGAGGCGAATTCATAGTAGTTCATATGTAACACTGAACATGGGTAGGATATCTTGAAATCAGTTAAAAGTAAAACAATTTGTTTGCAAAGAGACATATTCATATATAGGGTCTGTAATTTGGCTGATTATTAAAGTGGCAATATGGATTATTAATAATCTGACGAAAAATTAATTGTATATTTGCTTAGTCGAATTTGATGTTTTTATTTCATTAGCATGCTAAACGTATTTAGAAGACTGAATCACAAGTTCTGTTAGAAGAACTGTACTTTGAAGTGTAAACATACACTTGCATGCTTATAGCATGAAAATAATTTTATTGTTTTACTGTGCTACAAGTAGAAAGGTCACGGGTTGGATTCCCGATGTCATTGGATTTCTAGCCCTGGGGGCGACTCAGCCTCTAATAGAAATGAGTACCAGGAACCTGCCTGAGGATAAAGGGCAGCCGTTGCGTAAGACTGACAACCTCAGCGCCATCTGTGAGCGATTGTCTAGAAAATATTGGAGCCTCGACACCTCACTACCCTATGGGCCTCCACGGCCTGTTACAAGAATAACTTCATTTTTTCTCTTTTATTTTTCTTGGGAGTCGGAGTAGCTCAGTCGGTATAGCGGAGGGCTTCGAGCTGAACGGCCGGAGTTCGAATTCCGGCAGGGGAAAGATTGTTCTCTTCTGCACAACGTCCATAAAGGCTACGAGACCAACCCTGCCTCCTATCCAGTGGGTACCAGGGTAAGGCGACAGGGGCGTAAAGCTGACCACTCACCTCCATCGAGTGCCGAGGTCAAGAAAAGTGGAGCTGTACCTCCACTCCCCCATGTGTCTTCATAGCATAGTGCTTAATCAATTAAGTACAGAGACAACTTTACCCTTTTTCCTTTATTTGTTGTTTATTTATCGACGCCATAAGTTCCCAGACGGTACGATGATTAGTGAACTGTGAATTCGAAATGTTGTGGAAGGACAGGATCGTGGCATGACTGACGTACTGGCCCGGAGTTTGGGTGCAGGAACTGAAGAAGGTCACGAAAATGCCCTCTCAAAATAGCCGATCGCCGGGCCGAGTTTTCAACCCGGGATCTTCCGAATATGAAGTAAGAGTGAGTGCTGCCCCTACCTTCAGCGGATGAAATTGAAAACAGTTTAGGGATGATAGTGGTGCAAAGGAGCTCCTCTGAGGTCTAGTGGTCAGAGTTCCTGGCTACAGATCCAGAGACCCGGGTTCGATTCCTGTTTTTATTTAAATCAGGAATATGAATAATGTCCAGAAACATAATATTGATATTAAGTTGAGTAGTGTAACTGGCCATTTTAGGAAATTACACAGGATGTTTAGAAATTAGCTTTCACGCCAGACTGTTCTGCTCTTGCGTTTTGTGACACGAAACGCAGGTAGTTTCAGGGTGAAGACAACCGTTGTTGAACAGAATGACTGGCATTACCGGGTAGGTACACGGTTGTTTTATTTTTGTCCTCTTTGTGTTTCAGTGTATTATAAGCGTCAGTTGGACGCATGGGTTCTCGGCTGTCTTCGAAACTGTGGTACACGCGCACAAATGTCCACTCAGTGCTTTCGGCACCAAAACTTGTCAGACGCCTACTGTATAATCAGCACTAAAACCTTCATGTGTTCTTCATCCAATATTCCTTGATTAAATCAGCGCCTTTCTCGGCTACCATAATGACGGGTGCATTTGTGTTACCACTGACGAGTGTTGGCATTATTGAAGCGTCTATCACTCTTAGACCTTTAATCCCATAAACTTTTAGTTCTGGATCAACAACAGCATCAGGGTCCCAGTAAGGCCCCATTTTACAAGTTCCTACAGGGTGGTAAATTGTCACTGAATATGCTCTGATCATGCACTCCCAGTAAGCATCAGTCCACTTGTTTATGTGTGTGCAGCCTGGGAAAGGGACTTCGTAAAGTTTGCTACCAAACCTCTGAAATGACCGCGTTCTACTCATGGCCAAAGCGATTTTAACACCTTCTACAAGAACTGACATATCGTACGGATCGAAGAAATAATTCGGATAGATGAGCGGATAGTCAAATGGATTTTTACTTCTCAGTTTGATTACTCCACGACTTTTTGGCCTCAGTAGTACAGGAATGACACTCCATGTATCCATGTTGTTGATAGGGTTGAAAACTTTGTTGTAGAATGATTCTGTGATGCCGTGAGCTTTGCGAATCTGGCGTCCTCCATCGGAGTTGGTGGATCCGGAAATAAAATGGAACTCGATATCAGGAAAGTCTTCAGATGCGTTCGCATATTTGGTGCTGACGAAGGCAAGTCCTTCTACCCCTCCCAGGACTGTGAGAGGACCGTCGCCGAACATGGCGTATTTGAGAACAGAGGGGACGTTCTCGTATCTGCTCTGGACGAGGGACACGGGTTGGTTTACCATGAAGGTGAACCCACCGAGTCCAATGTGGTCTTGGAGGTTGTAGCCTACTTTCAGGTCCTGGATCACAGGAATCTTCAGCTCCTGCAGGAAGAAACAAATGCATCAACTTACAGTAAATACGAATATAATATTCTGTATCAAAATAGTCTATGTTTATTAATCGGTTGGCATGCATTGATGACTGCGGGACTGCCCCTTTTTGGGTGACGTTACCAGCTTCTGTTGGTGAAGGAAGAAATTGTTAATTGTTCAGCTGTATAGAATCCGTATGCCTGTACGGAACTGTATGAGCCATTTGTTTCGAAACGTCATTAATCTTGCGTAGGAACCGAATATACAAAGTAGAATAGTCGCCGGTGGTTTAAAGAAGCATTGCGTTTTTATTTTAGTTTATAAATGTAATATGGGTGGGTATAAGGAGTGCCTTGTTCCCCCGGAGCGCCGTCATCACGAGGTTCTAAGGTAGGGTGCACTAAAATACATCATAAAGCTGAAGTTGTGACATTACAGATTCTGATGTGTTTTCTTTTCTGCCGTCGACACAACACATTTTTTTTTACCAAAAATTAAACCAATCTAATATCACTGTGTTACATTGGTTTTATTTAGTGACTGCTACATATTTCAATCAGCCGGACACAGCCACATGGTCTAAGGCATGAACTATCTTCGGACGCTGGTATCATGGGTTCGAATCCCACTCAGGGCATGGATATTTGGTGTGTATGCATTTATTCTGTGTTTGTGTTTTCCTGCGGCCTTGAGACGGGCTGATCACTCCTCTGAGGAGTCCCACCGTCTGTGAAAAATGATTTTGGAACTGAATAAGAGACCTCGGCCCCGAATTGGCTGGAAGAGCCATTAAAAAACATATTTCGATCCATATTTGGATCATCAGGCAGTGTTCTTAAATACGTAACTCGTTATTGAATAATAATATGGACCCGTATTAGTGTTAATTGTTAATATCGTAATGATATTTGTAATTTTGGCCTAATTATATATATATAATTATTCCGCCGTTACGAATTTAGTTTCCGTGCGTCTTGTCGTGTATGGCAGATGATGATATCTTCCGGGATTCTTCGTTATGTTTTATTTCTGGAAGTAAATTAGCGTATATTGTTATAATCTAAGTATTGAGTTATATGTAATATATGTATTACGTGGTGTGGGCGAATTACTTTTATGTTCGCGTACCGTGTCGTCACTAGCTTTATTGTATACGTTTCTCCTTGATTTCCTTATGTGCTGTCGTAAATGAGTTCTGTAAATTCGAGTGACCGATCATTAATGTATCTATTGGAGCTGACTGCTAATTGTACCTCGTCAAATGTTAAAATTTTTAACTTTTAATTCATATTGGATTATTACTATTTTAATGATTTAGTGGGTCGAAACATGTAGCAGTCGCTAAGTGAAACCAATATAACACAGTGATATTAGATTGGTTTAAATTTTGATAAATTTGTTGTGTCGACGGCCGAAATCCCACATCATGACACACAACAGGATGAAAATTGGTAAAGTTATCACTGTAACAGGCCGTGGAGGCCCGTAAGGTTGTGAGATGTCGAGACTCCCACATTTTTCTAGACAGTCGGCTCGCAGATGGCGGTGAGGTCAGCTTTACGCGTCGGCTGCCCTTTACCCCCAGGAAGATTCCTGGTACTCATTTCTGTTAGAGGCTGTGTCGACCCTAGGGCCATAATGAAGGGATTAGGCCAATTTAAAAATCCAGTGACTTCAACTGCAATCAAACATGCGGCCTTTCGACTTTTAGCAGAGTGTCTCAACCAAGTAAGCTACCGCGTGCACACAACAGGATGCAAATAACAAGGATTTGAGGTTCTCTCCACATTGGCTATGAAGATTGTCTTCTGGAATGTAATGATGTGTTTACAACCTGGAAGGCAGTAGGTTTCGCCGAAACTTTAGAAAATATGGCAATAGACGGCGTCACAGACTGTAAGACAGTACTTTATTAAAGTGAAGTTGTACCTGTGACACAGCACCAAACTGGGAAGATGTAGGCCTATTGCTAAAGACCCACGCTGCGGCCACTGTATGTAGGTGGATGTGATTGGTCGCCTTCCGGCTCCTGTCGCGTACTTTGGGTGGGCCCCATAGCCTGTGTGGATGTGGCGACAGAGAGAAAATCTAAGCCCCTTCCGGAAAAGGAATTTCCTTCATCTTTCCCGTCCTCATCAAGCTGTCAAGGGCCACTCCGTGACTTTTTAGTCCGCAAGCGAATTATACCGACCGAGAGACCGCCGGTTGTCGGCGAAGTTAGTGCCAACTTTTGCTGAAAGAGGGTATCACGTGGTCAGCGCAAAGGATCCCAACGGCCGTTAATCTCGGTTTTGTAGACCGGAGCCGCTACTTTTCCATTCAAGTAGTAAATTATCCTCACGAGTCTGAGTGGACCCCGTTCCAGACCCACTACTCAGAAAATCTGGTAGCGCCGGGAATCTGACCCGAGACCTCTGGAACTGTAGCCGGGAACTCCGACCACTAGACCACAGAGGCGGTCCTATTAACCTCACATAATCGACTGATCATACCTCTAAGTGTGCACGTGGACCGACGCCAGATAACATGAGGAGCTGTGGGGAGTTCACGGATCCCCCGCTAACGATGATCTCTTTTCTGGCACGGATTACGTGGAGCTTGCCCTCGCGGCTGAATTCAACCCCGAACGCCATCTTGGTGACCGGCTCTATGAGAACTCTTGTCACGTGGGAGTCCATGGCAACGTGTAAGTTCTTCCTGAGGCGTGCTGGCCTCAAGAAAGCCTTCCCCGTGCTGCAGCGGGTCCCTCGTCGCGTCGTGCCCTGCGCGATCATGAAGCCTGTTTGGAACTCTCCGTTGATGTCTCGATTGTCGTACCTGCAACGTATTAAATGTTCTTATATAATCTTGAAGTCCTGAGTTCCATACTCGAGACCGTCTAACGTACATTTTTCTGATATGTTGGGATTTTGGACTTTATCCATCGTCCTGGTTTTTAAGATAACAAATAAAAACACGACGTTTCGGAAACTGGATCTTCATGTTTTTGTGACATTGGTTTGTCCAGTGATTGAGGCTAGCTCTTTCTAAGGGACCCAACTGAATAGGTGTTTTCCTTCACCTGAGGACGGAAACAGATCCAGTTTCCGAAACGTCGTGTTTTTATTTGTTATCTTAAAAACCAGGACGATGGATAAAGTCCAAAATCCCAACATATCAGTGTGTTATACACCATCGTCAGAATCCTATAGTAACTACTTGTACATTTTTCTGTTTTCTTCCTCGTTCTTCCCGACACTGTTTTAATATATATGATGTGTGATTTGTGATATTATAAAGAGACTCCTTGTCCTTTTTGCGATTTCAGTTTTTCAGTGCAGGGAGTCCCAACATTTGGTAGCTTATTCTTATTTCTTGTCGTGGTCCGTAAGCTTCCTAACTTGTTTAAAATGCCGGCCAGTAGCTCTAGGTTCGGTAGATATAATTATTCTTTAGCAGCAACTCATTGTCCAAAATATTTCGACTTGATTTTGGATGTGTATAATTAGTAACTTTCATTGTTTACCAGCGACAATTTGCTTGGACGAACCGATAGCCAAGAGTTTCGGGCTTCTATCTTTATCTTACTCGGAACCCCCTGTTAAATGGTTTCTTATCCAGAAGTACATAACAAATAATAATTCAATTAATTTTGTTTGTTGGAGTGTTTGCCAGCAGCGTGTAGCTTATAACAGGCGAGCACTATGAATGTATACAAATCTTAGAACTAGACTGAAACTAACTGTTGTGTGTTTATTAAAAACATGTAAAAATATGTACATATTTTGCAACTCTCTCGCTGTCTCCTATGGCTCTACAGCACTTTGGACGGGAGATCAGCCCGTCGGAAGGCCGTTTAAAATTATTGTAATTTGGTCTGTAATTACTCATTGATGCACTGTTACCGCGCTTAATATTACTTACAACGGTTTCTTGCTTCCATAAACTGGGGACTTCCCTGTTAACAGACTAATGTTAAAATATAACGTAAGGGAGGGGTAGAGATCTCAGAACAGTCTTTAATAATGAAACTGGGAAGTTTATCTGGATCGACGAATTGAAATGTCGAATTTCTCACTTAATGTCAAGAGTGTTTTAAAACATCGGAGCTATTAAGAATATTGTGTGAAATATCAACAGCGGAGGAAGGGTTAAAAATTAAACACATAATCAACAAAGGCTTCACCATTGCATTGCGTATTTTTAAGCTTAGAAACATACTTCCAAAAGTCCGCTGTTATGTCCTTACTTTAGCCACTGATTTTAACAAGCGAAGACCATCTGTTCTAATGGCAGTTTTAGGCCGCGCCATAGCTCAAGCGGTTAGTCGCTGTCTTCCTACCGCGGCGGCCCGGGTTCGATCCTGGGTCTGGTTAAGTGGGATTTGTGGTGGACAAAGGGGAGCTGGGGCAGGTTTTCTCCCAGTACGTCGGTTTCCCCTGCCACTCTTCATTCCACCAATTGCTCCACAATCACCCTCACCTATCATCTGGGGCTGGTACAATAGGCCAGAAGTGGCCGCACTACAAGGGACTTAGTCCCACCCCACTAGCAATAAAAAATGGCAATTTTAACCAGTCTGCGGCAGCAAGAAAAGAACGCTATAGTGATAATGTGATATTGATTTGTTGTGTCTTCTAAGATACTGAGCTCTCTTCTTAATCCGATATTTAAAATACGTAGAAAACCAATTCGGAAAAACAGAATTGTTGGACCTTACGTAATAAATGGCTAGATTTATAGCTTCAAACACTTTGACAGTGCGATTATAAGCCGCAGAATGCAGACTCAGCAGAATTCTTGCCGTGACCACATGACCAGAATTACGTAAAGGATCGTAAAGTCACATGCAATCACCATGAACATAGCTGGCGATGAGGGACGAAGGAAATATGAGTTAATTTGAAATCGAGGACAAGTGCGGAGATGCTTATCATGAGGTACCACAGGAGGATTTAAAATAGACACACTTTAGTCACTGGTATTAGGAAGTACAGGGTACTCTGTTGCACTATTCAAGACAGTCGTTGTGTTCACTGAGACCAAGGAAGCCTGAGAGGACATGAAATGAATTATCATTAAGGTAAGATATAGCTTTCCCTGTCATAGACCATGGAGGCCCATAGGCTTGTGAGACGCTGAGCGTCCCACATGATCTAGACAGTCGGCTCACAGATGGCAGTAAGGTTGTCAGCCTTATGCGCCGGCCTCCCTTCACTCCCAGGAAGATTCCTGGCATTCATTTCTGTTAGACGCTGAGTCGACCCCAGGGCCATACTACGGCAGGAAGGATTAGGTCAATTGAAAAAATCCATTTCATTGGGATTCGATCCCGCGACCTTCCGGCTTGTAGCATAGTGCCACAACCAACTACGCTACCGCGTGCCCCCCACATATATATATATATATATATATATAATTGCTACAGATGTACTGTAGATTTATATTTCATCGAATTTAAGGACCCCTTTCGAAGCAGATAGATTTCTGTCATCGTACTTTCTTTGTTTGGTTGTGTTTTTTAAAACTTGTACGCTTCCCAAAATATAATTAGAGTGATCAGGTCAAGGGGAATGAGATGGGCATGGCATGTAACACGAATGCGGGTGAAGAGGAATGCATATAGGATTTTGCTGGTAAAGCCAGAAGGAAAGAGACCGCTAAGAAGACCAAGACGCAGGTATGTGGATAATACTAAAATGGATCTTAGAGATCCATCTGGATTCATCTGACTTAGAACAGGGACCATTTGAGAGCTCTTGTGAAAAAGGTAATGAGTCTTCAGGTTCTATAATATGCTGGGAGATTCTTGAGTAGCCGAGCGACTGGCGGTTTCTAAAAATAGTCTCATCTCCATGGAGTTAGTTATGTTTATGTCTCATTATTTCTAACTTTGAACCAATTGTCCGATTTCCATAAATGTCTATAGATAGTTCATGTCATACTCTTGCCTTGTCTTGAACGATATAACACAGAAATTCTACAGAACTTAAAATATCATAGCCATATTGGCGGGTTCCTTGTGTCCCTTTCAAATATTGTGTATCTCACATTTTTTAGAAATATTGCAGCGTTTATTAAGATAATAATATATAATGGAACTTAACATGGCGAACGTACGAAATGTGCAGTAACCTGTCGAATTCGTGACGTTGTTTAAGGAATTATTATAATGAAATTCCAGTTGACTGATTGATTGATTGATGTTCACTATATTTGACAATACTCTAACTGTGGCGCCAAATGAGATGGAACGTGATGACGACCGGTAATTACGTAAGGATTTAAAGACATCGCCTCAAAGACTGACGAGTACCTCGAAACCCTAAGTTAGAACAGCAAAAGTTCTAACCGAGTACCTCTCTTCATGTAAGTCTATGGCGTCTCCGCTATACCAACCCACTCTGTAATATCTGGTATGGTGGGTGGAGGTTATAGTTATGCGAGAAAGGTTTTCTGTTAATACGTACCCCATTTCGACGCCCGCCTGAACGAAGGTGGCTGCTAGTGGTGTGTGCCACGGCGCTTCTTGCACCGTGAGGTACCCTCCGGTAGAATGGTAGGGCGTCCTAGCAAGGTAGGGATTGCGATTATCTTCCGACTTCTTAAAATAATAGAGAGCTTCCTCGGAGCCCCAGCCTGGGTTGCCTAGCGACTCCCAGATGTCGTAATCCTTCTTGTTCCCTCGTACGTACAGCATGTAGTTCAGGACACTGGACCCCCCGATCACCTTCCCTCTGGGCCAGTTGCACCTGTGATGCTTCATTCCTGTGTGTTAGGAAAACGTAAAGCATAAGTAAGAAATCTGTCGATATGAAACAGTAGCTGTTTTGGTAGGTCCTTTCTTCACAGATGAAATACACACACTCGCGCGCCGACACACCTCGATGATAGAATTTAATGTATTCTTCAGTTTAGAGTCCAGCTACACCCTTCCGAAGACAAATTATGACAGCTACGCATGTCAACAGACACGATTCACGTCTTCAGAGAGCTACAGACTTGCCTCCCGTGATGACGTCGTCCCCTTCCGGTCACTCAAACTGAATGTAAACAAAAACAAGGAAGTTGTCTTCTGTCCAGATAAGAAGAACAAGTCGTAACTAGCCAATAAATCAGTCTCTCCTTCCGAAATGACTAAAAAGGACAATGACGTCCACGAAGGACTGTAACAGGTTTCGACTGCTACAGATCCGTGTCAGTAAAAGGAAGTCCCGACAAATGATATACACATATCATGAAGCGAATTATTACGTTCCATTCGATAATTCTTTCCTGCACACATCTGCCTGTAGTGTTCGCATAGTTGGGGATGGAGTCCAGTTCGGTCCACGCGGTACGGCGGCCACTAATTGGCCTATTCTAGCCAACTCCGGGTGATTATGATGATGGAGAATTTGGTGGATTGAAGATTGGCAGGGGAAGCCGAAGTACTCGGAGAAAACCTGCCCCCTCGCCCCTTTGTCCACCACAAATTCCACTTGACCAGACCCGGGTCTGAACCCGGGCCGCCGCGGTAGGAAACTAGCGACTAACCGCTTGAGCTATGGCGCGGCCCTGTTTGTAGTGTTTGTAACGGCACTGTTAGTAACACAGACTGTGTAGCGTGAAAGATCAGATGATAATTAATGTGAAAGGTTATGAAGGAAATCTCGTGCCCTGTATTAAGGTACTGTACCGGAATTTGCCTACAGGGACTGAAGAAAACTGCCAAAATACTTGGGTCAAAAAGTCTGTGTCCCCTCCAAGATTAGAAACGGGCACCTCTCGAATACAGTTAGAAGCGTTACCGCGTCTGCCAGCTTGCTCTGTTCCTACGTTTATCGATTTCGCGATGACGTCTTTAAGACAGTGGAAGCAACTTCAAAGCCCCTAGAGCTATGTAGATGGCTTCTGTCCGCACTTACCTCCGTGGTCGACGGTTAAGCTCCACTTAATGGCCGATGTTTCTGTCAGACCTATAGTACTTGTTTGTCGAGAACTGGAGAATGACTATCCGGGGCGAGAGAGCGGAGTACCCAGAGAAAATACCGTTCCATTGTCACTGTCCTCCGTACATCCCACGTGTGCCCGTCCCACACCCTGATAGTGATTTATAATCGTCATCTGAAGATGAGGCTACTGACCGAGGCAGGCGGTTCCTTGAGGCTCCGTCTTGTACTTCCAGTCAAGTTTGCTGAGCTGTAAGTAGGCTGCCAGTACAGGAACATCTGAGATTTCTGTCTCGTCTCCCCCAGCCTCCAGCAGCAGAACTGTCCAGTTCTCCATCTCTGTCAACCTGTTGGCGAGTACAGCACCTAAACATATATCAGACCATTGTTTTATGTGATGTTTTAAATATTTGCGGTTCTCACGACCGTGACTGTGAGGAGACATGTGACGCCGTGTGGTCTGCTAGAATTTTACCAGCGTTTCATAGGAAAATATTGCCCTAAGCGTCAGGACCGAAGAGTATGTAAAAGAAGCAGCAGGCAAGAAACGTTATTTTTTGTTTCTTCTTTGGCTTACTTTTCGACCGTGACGATGGAGGCCTACATCTCTTCGAAACATCAGTGAACTTCTGTGGCGTCGCATCTCAGAAGCTAATGCAGTTTGTGATTTAATTAACCTGATTATTGTGGGATTTGTATAATAAGGCCATATGAATTTTCTGGTAAGCTGATGGATGCTACGTTGTTTCGAACTGGCATAATCATATTGCTCAGTGAAAAATCCTTCCCGTCATTTGGCTGATGTACGTGAACGCCGTTATTTTAGTCTAGTGATTGAGTTCATCTGTTATTTAACAGTTGATTTTGGCAGTGACTTCGTTTTATAGTTTACAGTGCATTCCTTCCTTTGAAACAAAAGCAGAAGGCCTCTATGGGTCGTTCCTATCGCCTTACTACTGCTATTAGTACCACTACAGTAATTGTAGTGGTGGTGGTGGTGGTGGTGGTGGTGGTGGTGGTGGTGGGTCGTGCCATAGCTCAGGCGGTTAGTCGCCGGCTTCTCACCGCGGCGGCCCGGGTTGGAGCCCAGGTCAGGTCATATGGGATTTGTGGTGGACAAAGTGGCACTGAAGCAGGTTTTCTCCGAGTACTTCGGTTTCCCCTGCCCACTTCTCGTTCCACCGACTACACCACATTCATCATCTGTCACCCGGGGCTGGTACAATAGACCAAATTAGTGGGCGACGTACCAAGTGGACTGAGTCTCACCCCACCCGAATAAAAAAATTATGGAGGGAGAAAGATATTTATGGTTCGCAAGATGGAGGAAGGACGTAACCATACGGAAATATACGTAGGGAAGTCAAAAATTATCCGCACTCTTATTTTTACAATCTATATATACAAACCCCCTCGTTGGTGGTGAGGGGGTTTGAGTATGCCAAGGACCCTGAGAGCTATACCAGCGGTAGCGTAGCTACTGGCAGGGCCTCCCTTGCTGGACAGGTCAAAGGGTAGGCATCAGACGAAGAGAGATACCAAAAACTGACGTCGGAAGCAGCGTCATCAGCAGCGACTTGAAGCACAGAGCAAATGATGCTCGAGATGGTTCAAGTTCGTATAGCAACAGGCGTGACCAGAGTGGTTTGAACGGCTGTTGTACTGCGATGTGGAAAGCAAATGGAAAAACTACCACATTATCACTTTTCCTGGATAGTCTCTTTCCAAAAACAGAAGATCGCATTAAGTGGAGAAACTGTTTTGGAAGAGACTGTGGACCTGTCGTCTGACAGATTACTGATGATGATGATGATATATACAAAAGTAGGGGTTGAACAAGTACTTCATTTTTCTACATAGTCTCCTCCCTTTTCGATGCACTTGGTCCAGCGGTCCAAAAGCTTGCGTATTCCCTCCACGAAGAAGGTTTTCGGTTGGTTACGTAACCATTTATGCACCGCTTCCCCCACTTCTTTGTCTGTAGAAAATCAAAAACTTCGTAAAACATCTTTGAGCGGTCCAAAGAGATGACAGTCGGAAGGGGCGAGATCTGGGCTGTAGGCAGGGTGTTCCAGCACCTCGAAACGGTCTGGCCGTCCTTGTGTGAGTGTTCATTGTCATGCAACAACAACACTTTCTTCGACAATAGGCCTCGGCGTTTGGTACGAATTGCTGGCTTCAGATTGTTGGCCAGCAAATCACTGTATCTTGCACTGTTGATCGTACACCCTTTTTCCAGGTAGTCTTCCGGTATAGGCCTTTTGAGTCCCAAAAAACGGTTAGCATCACCTTTCCCACGAAAGACTGAGTCTTGAATTTCATCTTCGTTTGCGATCCCGGGTGCTTCCACGCCACACTCTGGCTTTTGGATTCTGGCTCATAGTGATGAACCCACCGATGAGTTTCAGCCCCTGACGCACCTTCCAATCAGAGAAATCGGATCACTATTCTTTGTTAATCATTGGTGCACACTGCTAGCAGAGCGGCCATGTTTACACTGTCACAGCATCAAGGAAAATGATGCGATCAAGGTAAAACTTCAATCACGTGACCACAGTAGTACCAACTCTAACAATATATGCGTAGGAGGCAGTACGACAAACATAAAGATGTGTTATGGAGAAAGTGCGGATAATTTCCGACTTACCCTCGTAGTAATCGAGTAGACAGTGATATTGAAGATGGTGATTTGATCATCGGTAGTGGAAGGCCAGGGAATAGATTATCAGAATTGCTAGACGACAACAAGAGGAAGCTGGAAGTCGTCGCCCTGGTACCTGGTGCTGTACATACCCGCAGAGCCTGCTCCCACAATAATAAAATCATACTCCGGATGTAGAAGCTCTGTGGCCACGTCGATGGGTCGAGACTCAGGATCGAGGAGTTCGTAGTGGAAGTACGCGATGGCAGCCACTAGCACGGGGAAGAACCACGCAACGCTGGAAGCAGCGTTCGCCGCGTACCCGGCCAGGGCCAGGGGCAGTGCCGCAACAGAACTCATCTTCAGAGCAGAACTGTTCTTCTGTAGGCCTAGGGAATAACGGAATTAGAATTAACCGACACAGAATGAGAAAGCAGACAGCGTGTCCACAAGTACTCTATATAGGATTTCATTTCTGGTAATTAGGACCTAGGGGGGGACGCGGTAGCGTAGTTCTGCTACAAGCCTGACGGTCGCAGTTTCGAGTCCCGATAAGGTCACTGGATTCTTTTTCAATTTATCTAATCCTTCCAGGCGCACTAGTGCCCAGGGATCGACTCAGCCTCTAACAGAAATGAGTACCAGGAATCTTCGTGAGGGGTAAGGGACGCCCGGCGCGTAAGGCTGACAACCTCACCGCCATCTGTGAGCCGATTGTCTGGAAAGTGTTGGAGCCTCAACGTCTCACAGCGGGCCTTCACGGTCTGTTACAGGGATAGCTTTATCTTACCTTTAAATAGACCCCTAAGGTTTTCTGTTTTAATTTTTACCGTCAATTCTTGACCTCGGCACTAGATGAATTTGAGAGGTCATCTTGACGCCCTACCCGCTTTATCTCCTGAGAAATATCCTCCAGTTCCCATCGGACAGGAGGCCGAGTGGGCCCCAGAGCTGCAAAGAATTAACGCCAGTAGTTGTGTCTGTGAACAAGGTTGCCTGAATTTAAAAAACAGTATAATCACCATTTCAATATTTTGAAGTATCTCCGTTGCTTGTAATGTTTTCAGCACACGAATTTTATAAATACTTAATCCGGTTTCCGAGACACGATATTGATCTGTTCCAATTGGATGTGTGGTAAAAATTTTAATTAAGCCATCTCGATAACAGGCCGTGGAGGCCCATAGAGTTGTGACACTCTGAGGCTCCCACATTTTCTAGACAGTTGGCTCGCAGATGGCAGTAAGGTTGTCATCCTTACGCGACGACCGTTCTATACCCCCCCAGGAACATTCTTGGTACTCATTTCTGTTAGAGGCTGAATCGACCCCATAGCCAAATTGCGGCTGGAAGGATTATGTAAATTGAAAAAATCGAGTGACCTAATCGGGAATGTATTTTTCTTTATTGCTAGTGGGGTGGGACTAAGTCCCCTGTACTGCGGCCACTTCTGGCCTATTGTACCAGTCCCAGATGATAGGTGAGGGTGATTGTGGAGCAATTGGTGGAATAAAGATTGGCAGGGGAAACCGAAGTACTCGGAGAAAACCTGCCCCAGCGCCACTTTGTCCACCACAAATCTAAGTTGACCAGACCCGGGCTCGAACTCGGACCGCCGCGATGGGAATCCAGCGACTAACCGCTTGAGCTATGGCGCGGCCAAACGGGAATGTAACTCCTGACCTTCCGGCTTGTAACATAGTGCCTCAACCAACTACGCTACCGAAAAACTTTATGACACGTAATTAAAAATTCAAGTAGAAACACGCACGCAATGAATGAAGCTTTAACTGACTTGCACGGGCTAAGATTGTAGTAATTTTCGAAATTTGCACAGCGGAAAATCTGTCATGCGCCGTGTAGTTTCGGAGATGAAACAGTCGAATTGGCAGGCACTGCCTTTTTAATATTACTTCACTTCCCTGTCCTTTTTTTCTCCCCTCTTAGTAAACTAACATTTCTTCCATTTACAACTTAAAACTCTTCTTCCAAAGTTATACTGTAATGAAGTACAAGAAATTAAACAGTTGATCTGTTAATGATAGTAAAAAACCAATTACAATAGTGGGTTTACCTCCGTGGCAGTTTATCTCTCTCCCCTTGGTAACACATGAAGCTTAGTTCAAAGAGGCTGAGAAACTCACACACCTTACACCGTTCTGTTGGATGAATGCCCGGCACACAGTGACTGCTGATGGCAGAACCCCGTATAGCGGCTCATTGGTAGTGCAGACATACAGACAGGGTGACATCTCACATACTGACTTTCTAACATGTACCTTTCCTCTGCTAAGTCTTCCCCCCACCCCCTCCCCACTCTGTACCGAGTGCCGGATGTCACATTCGGCATTCATCAGGCTTGTTTTCTTCTAAGGATACAATCAGATGACGTATTACTTAATTTGCCGGTTACTTATCTGTTTAACGGTACTAAGTTCTGCGTAGAGGTAAAAAGAAGTAAAGCTATCCCTGTAACCGGCCGTGGAGGCCCATAGGGTTGTGAGACGTCGAGGCTCCCAAATTTTCTCTAGACAATCGGCTCATAGATGGCGGCAAGGTTGTCAGCCTTACGCACCGGTCGACCTTTACCCCCACGAATATCCCTGGTACTCATTTCTGTTAGAGGGTGAGTCGACCTCAGGGCCGTAGTGCTACTGGAAGGATTAGATCAATTGAAAAAATCCAATGACATCGGGACTTGAACCTGCGTCCTTCCTGCATGTAGCATAGTGCCTCAACCAACTACTAGAAGAGTATATGAAACTCTGGCTCATAAAAGAGTTTAAAAAAATTGCATTGCTTATACGGATATGATCAGTTGAACATATAGCATGATTGCTTCATTGGATCACGAACGAAATGAAGTGAACATAACTAATTAACTGCTGTTAGACTTCGGTTTCTCAGCGCGGACACTGAGACTCAGCCCCGGTCTACTTCCTGTGATGTTTATGGTGGGCGAAGTGGCTCTCTAGTAGATTTATTTCCAATTCTTTGGGTGTTCCATGCTCATCATTCAACTTATCTGTCAGCGCATCCTGAGTTGCGTGATAGCCCTGAAGTAACACATCATATCCTGGATCTTTATGTTTGCGGTTTCGTCTCTGACCCGTCAGTTGGCCGGTCGCAGAGTAAGGAATTTAGTTTTTGTATTACTAATTAACTCCATGATACAAGACCTACTTTCAACAGTTGTTAGGTCTTAAAAAAAATCTGCTTGTATGACCTTGAAAGTTCATTACTATTAGTGATATTGTATTTCAGCGTCATATTCTGTGTGAACTGTTTCTTTTAGGTTCCGTCGACGCATTTCTTATGTAACTTGAGTAAATTAATAAATATTGCATAAGGTCACATAAGTCAGACCTCATTCTACTAAGATTCAACAGCAATAACAAATAAAAGGTAAAGCTATCCCTGTAATAGGCCGTGGAGGCCCATAGGATTGTGAGACATCGAGGCTCACATTTTCTTTAGAGAGTCGGCTCACAGATAGCGGTAAGGTTGTCCGCCTTACGCGCCGGCCGGCCTTTACCCCGCAGGAAGATTCATGGTACTCATTTCTGTTAGAGGCTGTGTCGACCCCAGGGCCATAGTGCGTCTGGAAGGATTAGGTCAATTGAAAAATCCAATGAACTCCTGACCTTCCGGCTTGTATCATAGTGCCTCAACCAACTATGCTACCGTGTGCCCCTGCAATAAATACGAAAATATTAATAATGAATAAGTATATTAATGATATGAAAACAGATCACTTATGCGTAACAAAAAATGCCAGTAGCATTAAAAAATTACAATTGAAACTTTAATTAATAATAATAATTAACTAATTTTAAAGAAATGTATTTTAAGTCTGTACGTTAACTGTATTTAAATAACTAATACTGTGACGGAATGATCCATTGCTAGACATCGCTTCGGTAACCACCGCCTGAAAGCCGGAAGCGGAAGTCCATTTGATAGGCAACGGTTCAATGAACACGGATTCCCGCTGTAACGGATTCGCTGGTGAAGGTCAAAGCGTTGCCACGGATTGACACATCTTTCCTTGGCAACGAATATTAACAAAGACACAGATTCCCGTGGCGGCGGATAACACAGAATAACACAGGAACCGTTTGAGATGGTGACCTATATTCGGGCCGCCTGGAAGTTATAAATGAGTCTTAATTCATTCCTAAGGGGATTGGAGAGATGTGAACCCAGTCCCTGGGAGTATAACTGGGCCACCCTCTTCCTGGGGATATAAATACGGGGACCTGGCCCTCCAGGTTGAGAGAGTCTCGAATCTGAGACAGTAAAATACGGTCATGAGTCCCGCGGGACTCTACCGCAAGTGTTCAGTTGGAAAATAAAACTTCTGGTCGTGGGTCTCAAGGTGCTTGTCTCCAAGACAAACATATTGGCGGTAAACCGCTAGACATAAAGTAACTCGGAGCCTGACTCTGTAAGAGAATTCGTCAGACAGACATCATTCATAAGGAAGTTCGGTGTGAGCAGGGATTCGTCTTTCGACATCCATCACAATGGAAGAGAAGATTTTGGTGGTCCAGTAAGGAATGGAGCGAGTCTTAGATCATCATTAATTGTGAGCTGTTGCAATTAACTGTAATTGTAAAGAAGTGTCAATAAACCTAGTCATCAAATCCACAACCCATTATTATCAATGACGCTAACCCATAATTAAGAAACTCATGGCCGTTAGTCCACAAGCGAACTATACCGACCGAGCGACCGCCGCTTGTCGGCGAAGATAGTGCCAACTTTAGCGGATAGAGGGTGTCGCGTGGTCAGCGCAACGAATCCCCACTGCCGTTAATCTCGGTTTTCTAGACCCGAGTCGCTATTTTCTTGAAATAACTCCTCAATTATCCTCACGAGGCTGAGTAGACCCCGTTCCAGACCCACTACATCCCAGAAAATCTGGTAGCGCCGGGAATCGAACCCGGACCTATGGATCTGTAGCCGGGAACTCTGACCATTAGACCACAGAGACGGTCACGTAGATACGGACAGCGCCGTAAAGTAGACTACACAAAAATCATCAGTGGAAATTGTACATATTCTGTGCAGTCTCGTAGTAAAAGCGAATCCTTATCACTAGGCAACCTTACTTTCTGTGTGAAGGTTAGACAGAGCTAGTCTCTGGAACCGCGTATCTTGTCTTGTTACGACATCGGTCAAAATCCATGGTCACAGTCACAAACCTTTGAAAGCACCATCATTTCACAAGTACAGATTCTGAGATATCATTACGTAACTTTTTTCTTTCCAAAATCGGACGAGTTCTTGTGAAATGTAGCCTAAGTGAAGGTCATATTTCTAAATTGACATCTGTTTGCTCTGTAAGGCATTTGAAGCTGTATTCACACCGCGTAGATCAGTTACG